TAATACCACGAAAACGTTGCGTAAAAATGGGAATTATTTATATATAAACGTGTCGAAAAAGAAAAATTTACGCTTATCTTCGCCGTTTTTTTAGTTTTTATTACATGGTAAATAAAAATTGATATAAAAAGGCAAAGTGTACGAGGGTTTGTGCGCCGGTAAATAAGAAAAATAGTGCCTCGAAAAAAAATGGTTGGCACACACATAGCTAAGTTGAATATGACTTCAGGTACTCTGGGAACCTGACGGTTCGACCTGATCGTGTTTTTTGTTGCGCCGCTGGTTGTTGCAGCTGTGCATTACCAGGCACATCGTCGAGAATTTCGATAATTGAGTCATCCGTCGGTCGGATGTAGCGAGCTGAAACGTCACTTACAATGGGGTTGCCTTCGAAATAAGCTGGTTTCAAACGGTCGATACTGACAGTATCTTCGCGTCCGCCTCGCTCAATTACATAGAATTTCTCATGTCGCTTAATCACTTTGAACGGCCCGTCGTAGGGTGGTTCAAGTGGTCGACGAACAGCGTCGTGGCGAACAAACACGTGTGATGTCTTCTGTAAACTGGGGTGGACGAAAACATCAGTCGTTTGCGGTCTAATCGGAGAAGGCCTAACTGAACGCATTGCGTTTGTAAGCCTAGTCACATAAGATGCCCTGTCGGAAACATGTTTGAAAGTTGAAGGGGAAACAAACTCACCTGGTAGGCGAAGAGTGGTCCCATAGACGAGTTCTGCAGGAGTGCATCCAGCATCAACTTTCAACGCGTTACGAATACCTAGTAGGACTAGAGGCAGAGCCTCGGTCCACTGAGGTATGTTTGTAGCTGAAAGGGAAGCTTTCAGCTGTCGATGGAAACGCTCTACCATGCCATTTGCTTGTGGATGGTAGGCTGTCGTTCGGAACCGAGTGCAACCTAAAAGTGCCGTTAGAGCGTGAAATAGTCCGCACTCAAATTGGCGCCCACGGTCGGTTGTGACGTAGGATGGACATCCGAAGTTCGCGATCCATCTTTCGACGAAAACACGAGCAACTGTTTCGGCAGTAATATCTTTAATGGGTACTGCTTCCGGCCATCGTGTGAAACGATCAACACAGGTGAAAAGGTAGGTACATCCATTAGATTCTGGTAGGGGTCCTACAATATCTATATGGACGTGGTCGAAACGCATGTCTGGGGCTAGAAATGAGCCTAAAGGGCTTTTCGTGTGTCGCGTGACTTTACACTTTTGACAAGCTAAGCACGACTGGGCCCACTCCTTAACGTCTTTGTTCATCCCAGGCCAGCAGAAACGTTGTGCGATAAGCCTAATGGTGGCTCGTACACCTGGATGAGAGAGTTTGTGCAACGTATTGAAGACGTTGCGTCGACAACTCTTCGGAACTATTGGGCGTGGTTGACTAGCAGAGACATCGCACAAAATTGCATCCTTGTCTGATCCAACAGGACAAAGTCGCAGTTTGAGAGTTGTGGACGACAACTCATGATGCAGCTCAAGGTCTTCCTTTTGACGCCGAGCTAGTTCAACGAGATCAATACCCTCGATATAGTTTATCGAAGCTATTCGAGATAGTGCGTCGGCTGCGGAGTTGTTTGCTCCAGAAATGTGGCGGATGTCTGACGTGAACTGGGAAATGTAATCCAGCTGTCGCGACTCACGAGGGGAGTATTTGTCAGACGCCGAGCTGAGGGAAAACGTTAACGGTTTGTGGTCTGTGAAAATAATGAAATCACGACCTTCCACAGAATGTCGAAAATGGCGTACAGAACAGTACATGGCTAGGAGTTCCCTACCAAATGTACTGTATCTTGTTTCCGCGTCTTGCAGCCGCCTCGAGAAAAAGGCTAACGGTTGCCACTGGTTGTCAGTCAACTGTTGCAAAACTGCTCCAATTGCTGAATCAGATGCATCAACAGCAATACTCAGAGGAGCATTGGGGTCATGATGCATAAGCATGGTTGCGTTCGAAATGGCTTCCTTGACTTTGGAGAAAGCAAGTCTAGCCGCGTTGTCCAGAGACACGAACTTCGCAGTTCCTCGAAGTAGATCTGTGAGTGGTCTCATGACAGAGGCACAGTTAGGGATAAACCTTCGGTAATAACTTACCAGGCCATTGAAAGTGCGGAGATGTTTCACAGTGGTCGGCTCTGGATAGTTTGTGATAGCCGCCACTTTATCTCTCAATGGGCGTATACCTTTGTTGTCAATGGTATGCCCAAGGAAGCTGAGTGATTCAACTCCTATTTCACACTTCTGTAAGTTAACTGTGATGCCATGTTTTTTGAGTCTTTCGAATGCGAGGTCCAAATGTTTAAGGTGTGTTTCCTTATCTGGACTCGCAATTAGACAGTCATCTATGTAGACATGAACAAAATTCAGACCACGGAAGACGTCGTCCATAAAGCGTTGGAATGTTTGTGCTGCATTCCGAAGACCAAAAGGCATGCGCAGGAATTCAAACAGGCCAAAAGGAGTAATAATGGCTGTTTTCGCGATATCTTCTGCTGCCATAGGTATCTGGTTGTACGCTTTGACTAAGTCGATTTTCGAGAAAATGTTCATGCCGCATAAGGTTGCGGTCAAGTCGTAAACGTGGGGTATAGGGTAGCAGTCCGGAGTTGTTTTGGCGTTAAGCCTTCGGTAATCACCGGTCGGACGCCAGTCGTTGCTATCCTTTTTGGGCCCATGTGCAATGGCGATGCCCAAGGACTGTTTGACGGTCTGATAATGCCCAGTTCGAGCATATGGTCGAATTCATTTTTCGCCGTTTGCAGCTTATCGGGGGCTAAACGGCGAGCTTTGGATGCCACAGGTGGACCTGTGGTTGTGACGTGATGCATAACATTGCTGGTTATGCACGGAAGAGTGTGTTTCGGTTGTTGTAACTCTGGATATTTCTCCAGAACTGCCTGGTAGGACGCGTCGCCTGATTGTTTAGTCCTAACGATGGCTAAACTCGGACCTACATAGGTGGTGCCGCCAATAGATAACTTTGTGTTGTTATCTATCAGTCGTCGACGGCGAGCATCTACGAGTAGATCGTAATGGTTCAGCAAATCTATGCCAATGATGGGCATAGAGACGTCTGCCAGGAGGAAAATCCAGTGAATAGGTTTGCGTAAACCTAAGTTGAGGTAGGCATACCGTCTCCCGAATGTCGCGATTGCCTTGCCGTTGGCTGCTTGAAGATTGAAGGATGGGTCGAGATGACGCTCCTTTGTCGTTGCTGGAAGAACGCTAACTTCTGCGCCGGTGTCGACGAGGTAGCGGACTTTCGTTTTAATGTCGGTGACGTAGAGCAAACGGCTTTTTCCGCCGGCTACGGTTGCCGTGAGCACGTGCCGGCGTGACCGTTTCCCGAGTTCGTGTCCTTCTTAAAACGGCATGGTTTACGACATTTTCTGGCTTCATCCCCGTAAGTGTTATGAAACCAGCACCATTCAGGGTTTTCCACCCTGTTGGGTTTCGTTTTAGGGCTACCACGCGACTTGCTGCGATGCGCCAAGGTGCGTTTCTGTGAAGTGCTACGTGATCTAGGACTTCGAGATCGTAGCAACCGTTTCACAGAGTTGCACAACTTGGTCACCTCCGAATCCTGGCGCTCTGTTTTGTCACAGATAGAATATACGTTGGAGACGGGTCTGCTGGATATCTCCAGTATTTTATCTGCTGAGCTGCCAGGTCGTCGAGTGGGACTGACTGGAGTGTCACCAACACGGTTTGCACCGGTTGTGGTAGTTTCGAGAGAAATAGTTCTCGGAAGAAACCATCGTCAAATGTTCGTGCACCGATTACTTCTCGCATGCGTGCGAGGACTTCAGTAGCTGAGTGGCTGCCTAGCTCGATGTTACGAAGCAATTCGTCTAGACGTTGGCGATCTGTGAGATCGCTTTTCTTCAAGAGTGCAGCCTTTAGAAGTGCATAAGGGTCACTTACTTCAGGATTAAACATGTTTGCTGTAACAACCTGTTTAATTCTCGCGGTAGTGAACGTATGACAGCAAGAAATCGAGATGAGGATCTGAGACACCCTGTTCTCGAAAATCGGCCTCGGCATACAGAAACCATGTTTCTGCATTGTCTGGCCAATATGGCACGAGTTGGATCGTGTTCGAGGTCGGCTTAATACGAATAAGCTTGGGAGTGTGGTCGGACATGAGAAAGTGTAGTAAATGGATATATAAATGTTATCGAAATGAAAACAATAAACAAATATAAAATGGAACAGGCTCACCAATTCAATACTTGCTATTGGTCGGGATATGTGATCACGTCGGGCACGTCGGCTCACCAATTTAGGATTTGTCCTGGTGCGAACTTGACAGACGCAAAGACCAATCACTAATTATTCGAACTTGTTATATACCCACGAATACGAGACCAAGGAAGAACACGATAGCGTAGTCGGATGGAATAGTATATTTGGATGGTTATGCCAAAATACCGATGCGTTCCAACTAACTGGCTAGAGAGTCGAATACGAGCAATGCAACGTAACACGACAGCGTGCCAAATGGCGAGGATGCTTGACCGGATGCCTTCAGCTTAGCGAGTCCAGTTAAACTATCAAGGTCAGCATCAATGTCGAAGTCGTCAAACCCTAGGCTATTGATTTTGGGGAAGTGTGTGACGCTACAAAGATATCTGACAACATCCTTACTTCTCCTTCAGCTTTGAGCACGTGAACTGCTCATCCCCAACAGCTTTAAGAATCAGGGCCTATCCATAGTTATTGGATTAGAACCGAGGCAGAGCCTAGTTGCAGCTATTGCCCGAACGTGGTCTAGCTTAAATTTCCTGCATACGTTTTCTCGCAAAACTCTATAGTTCTACTGGTAAAGATTCTCCATCTTAATCTTCTTTGATCCTTTTTCAAAACTAAATAGAAATGGAAATTCAAGTCAAAATTCCCATTCTTATTCCTGAAAATGAGCTTCCAGTCTGGTACTTCCCTCACAATTAGGACTTGAAACCCCTCTGTCATCGGAAAGGCGTCCTTCATAAAAGTTTGCGGTACTTGTCCGCGTTTTCCGTGCGTTCATGGAATCACTCATTCCTGTTATAAATAAATTACAAGATGTTTTCAACACAGTAGGATCTGAAACTATACATCTACCACAAATCGTTGTTTTGGGAACCCAGGTAATAATTTTAACCCTTGCTTTGAATGTATTTGGTGTCTCAAACATTCACAGTTAAAATTACGGTTCTTTAGCTACCAGATGCTTATACGTGCTACACAGTGTAGGCGTCTCATGCATTTAAATACCAATATAACTGCTGGTCGCTAGTGCTGGACGGCTTTTTGAATTTTTATCCAGGGTACAAGATATCTTATTACTAGGTGTTTAAATCCGATCCAGCAGAATTTTCAGACGCACTTCGGGTCGAAAATTACATGAAAACTTAGTAAATATACAAACTCACCATAGATTCACAGAAACGTTGCAGGTCCTAAAGTTCTCATCGTCTACATTGTGCCTTAAGTTTGGGAAGTTCTTTAAGTTTTCTTGTTTAATGTATTGAATATACTACACAGCTGTTCTTTCATTCACTTTTCAGTAATAAGGTTGATAAGCTATTAACCTGTGTTATTTTTCGCAGTAGTTATCCCCATTAAAAATTGGTTTTGTCTTGGATGCTTTCACCTCAGAGGCTGCTACTTGTTTCGCAACCAGTTCTAGTCATTGATCACTCTCGGATAACCGGTGCCTCACTTGTAGATGGTTCGACCACGGCTTTCGGGCCTTCCTATGATGGTTTCTAGGGTAATCCGTCCTATCATGAGCAACGAAATTGGGAAAGCCATCACCTAAACCATTATTCAAGATACGAAAGACGAAAATGCTATCACTTCTAAAATGAGGGTAAAAAGAGCAGCCTTGCTAATCGCTGCTGATAGTTTAGGCTACCAAGACTTGGCACAACTTTAGGGAATTCCTTTTTGAAGTACGAAATAGCTACCTGGATATAATATCTTAGAAGAGACTTTATTTAAATGGCGTTGTGAATCTTAAGCAGAACCTCATCAGAGAATTTGTATGCTTTTCGAAGCTTGCGGAGCTGTGTTGCTGCAAATCATTTCAGTTCGCACTAGTTTTTAGGTTGTGGCTTGCGATAACCTTGTCCTAAAACCCAGGAGTCATTGATAGGCCCTTCATTAAATATCTTTGGGAGTGGTCACTCCTAATGTGCATTACTGCGTTGCTACTGGGATTAGTTTCGAAGCTGAATCGTCTAGAACGTCCAGTCACTTCGTGAAGGTCAACTTGGAGTGCAGATTCATAATCGTCACCACCGTCATCGTCCAAATTGACCCATCATATCTTGACTTCACCAGCGAACGCCTAAACCCTATCACCAATGCCGTAATTATGAAGCGTCTTCACCAACTGTATGGGATACTTTGTCCGAAGCTTTATTCAAGCCAACAAGCACTATGTCCACTGAAAGTTTATTGTCCCCTAACCTTAACCTACCCCTCCTTCACCATAAATAGGTTTGTCAAGAGAGAGTGTTCGATTGGTCTACTGTTCTCTGATTTTTGATATTTTGTCATGCAGATTTCATCACCAGGCTTATTAACGTCTTTAGCACTAAATTCAAATGCTACGCAAATGTCTAGGTAGTGTTTTTTCTGGCTTCGGGTACTGTCCAAATATAAGTTGAAGATGAAATTTTCATCACACCTTGACCTAGCATTTCACTCGTTCATCATGATGAAAAATCCTTGTTAGGGTAGAGTCGCCCGATTTGTTAGTGTCACGGTTTCATTATTGATCCGTTTGAGCAATTTGCACTTGATGAATGGCTTTTTTCTGAATTAGTTTTCAGACTCAATCCATTTCCTACTCTTTGTTGGTTGTTTTTTCGTTCGAATACCATGCTTTTAGAAATTCTCCTTCAACTTTTGAACCCATTCCTCGGAGGGTTTCCACATCCTTACAGTCGACTTTCTGATTGCTTTTGTCTGCTTGTATTGAAACAAAGGAAATTGCGTCATGTCGCTTCACTGTTACTTTGTGTTCATGAGTTCCTTGAGCGAGCCCATGACTAGACTGGCCAACGTGGTGTTGTGAACAACCCGTGCGATTAATTTTTTTACATTGTATTTGTCTTGTATTCCTTTAGAAACATCCTTTGGCTTCCACAACATGTTGTGTAGTGATTTTGTTGGATTTTATGCAACTCTAATCCCGAACGGAATGAGCAATCAGTTGGCCTTTTCTGAGATATCCTTTATGAAGAGTAGAGTAGTCTGCCTATTGGTTTGATATAATTGCACTATTCTCTGTTCTACCAATAGACTGTTTGTTAAAGTTGTGTGGTTAACCATTAACGTTAAACACTTTGTACGGGTATTTCTCTTTAAATTTCCGTAGTAATCCAGTGCTATAAGTTGCGGCTCTTAAGACTAGTGTCTTTACACGTTTCTTATGGACCGCTGTAGTTCAAAACTTGGTTGATGTAAATAGTTTTTTCTGCACTCGAGTTTGCGAATTCTCGTCGTGCGTTCTGATGAGGACATCTGAGAGTGGAATTTCATTGTTGGCTATCTCCTTTATGAAGTGGATTTCTTCAAATCTTTGGTTGATTAATCTGAAAGAATTTCCTGTTTCATCTTCAACGATTACGAGTGTATCATCAACCCACTGAATCCAAATTCTTGATATGACTGTTGATTCCAGACGCTACATCATTGCTTCACCAATAAATCGTGATATCGGCTATCCCATGGATGTTCCTTTCTTTTGCTTGTAAGTCTTCCCATTAAACTGTTAGTAGGTCGTGAGGCCTATATCGATCAGCCCTATTCGGTTTGTATTAGGGATTTTCGTAGTCTGAAAGATTTCAACTGTTCTTCAGAAAAAAACCCATTGTCTTCTTTTTGAGGCTCAAGTAGATTGGAGTGGTCACATCAAAGGATAGTATCTTTTTATCTCCATCTGTCTTGACACCTTTTATTTTTTCCAAAAACTCACTTCCAGTGACAGGGTGTACTGGTTTTCTACATAGTTCTTTCAGTAGATTGAATGGTGATGAAACTATTAGTCGTAGTGGAAAATCTGTGTTGTGTATCTTGAGTTGACCGACGAAACTCAGTAGAACTGGTCCGTTTGTCTTTATCTGCCACTGTTCTTTCATGATTTGGTCGGCGTTTACTAGATTCCTCAGCTTTTTGGCTTTGGTTATTTGCTTAGATTTTGGTCTAGTGGTCTGTTTTGTCAATAACGACTTTGTTCCTTTATCGGATAGCATTATTACAATATTTTCCTTTCTTTTGTATGTATATTTTGTTACCCTTCTATTTCCTACAAGAGGTACAATCTATTGGCGTCCAGTCTAGAATCCACTTGGCTTCTATGTCAGTTTCTAAATGGTTTAATATCTTATAGCGTTGCATTTTCGTCATTGCTGTGACATCCTAGGGCGTACTTCTTCCTACCTTAGTGACTTTCCCGGATTGAGGTTTCTGTGGTGGGAGGACCGTCTTACTCACTATTTGAACGAGTCCTATTAGGGGAGTGTAGGCAACAGTATCAGTATCTAGAACCCCATCATATTAGCAAGAAACACTAGGTTAAAACAGTTAAATGAACTACTTGCTGTAGTTAGATCCCATGTCGCTACATTTTTGGCGTCGCTGTAGGGTAGTAAAACACCCACTAACTACCGTTGAGATGAAGTGAAGGATGTTATACTAAAAACTCTCTAGCCTCCTTCTGAAAGCCAAACGTTCAGATGCGACTGTTACTGCAGGTGCTTTCAATGTACAAGTGAGTAGACTGAGTCAGGCAGAAAGGCACTTAGGTGACACTTTCGAAATCCCGGCTGAACGAACAGATAACGTTGATCACCTACTACAACTGTTCTCGGGTAACTATTTATTCCTAGCTAGCATAAACTTCAGACATAAAGAAAGACACTGTCTGATGTAGTGTCCACCAAGCTCAACTCAGTGAGGGACACAGACAGACCATATTGCTATCAGTTATCGTTGGAAGAGATCAGTGAAAGACTGCCGCTCCTTCCAGAGCACGTGTTTGGATAGCGACCGCACGTTGGTTCAAGTGCATATATGCCTGCATCTCAGCGGACTTTAAAAGCTTTGGCAATAAGACAGTTACGAGTGCAGCTCGACAATGAGAGCACTAAGGCCGCTTCCAGTGAGAAAGTGGCTAGACAGTTATTGAAACAGAACACTATCATCCAGAAGAAGCTTGGTTCCATCTCTAGTCTCCTGTAAAAGCAGCGTTGAAGACCGTGGCCGACTCTTAAAGAGAGGTTAAAAAGAGCCAGTGGATATCAGCAGCTTCTTCTGAATTAATAGATGCACGCAAACGCATAACTGCGGGCTCTGGGTACAATGAGGAGCGAACCTACTTATGGACTGAAAAAAAGTCTACGCAGTGACTGCGAGCAGTGATGGGCAGCGAAGGTTAAAGAGATAGGAAAGGAAGCGGCGATAGCTAACAGTAGACAGTCATGTAGGCTTACTGAGGAAACTACGGCTTAAATATAGACTGTCAGTAAGAATTAAGCGGAGAAAGATGGGTCTGCGATTCACTCGCAGGGGAGATGACTCGAACAAAGTGCAGAACACTAAGTGGCTTATCAACTGGCCTCCAGCTACTACTGCGCTGTCCGCCATCCAGTCGGATCGCGAATAGAACATTGAGATAGGCCCTCCAACACTTGCAAAGTCCAGCGGTAGGTAACTTGAAACGAAAAAGGGCAGCAGGACTAGTCGGACTAGTTCTCGACGAATACAACGACAGTCGTAGACCGTTTTTATTCACGTTAACTAAGGTATTCACTAGTCTATGAAAGTTAAATATGGTTCCCTCTAACTAGTCTCAATCACTCATTATCCCATACTTCAAAGAAGCGACAAGTCTTCCTATGATAACCACATACAAATCGTAGAGTACAAGATCCCAATTACTGATATCCTCAAAAATTAATGTAGAACCTCACAACTAGGCGCATTAGATCAAGTCACCACAGAAATACACAAATAAGAAGCAGATAGAAAAGAAGTAATATCAAAGTATATGAAGCTGTGTAAAAGAATAAACAATCTGAGGATAAAGGTTAGTGTGAATATTCAAGCTTCAAAAGGTGAAAAAGAGTGAATACATCTACACCATTGTGACTGATTTTTAGACATATCACCAAGACTCCTCAACCACTGACTTCTTTCGTCTCGGAGACCCCAACCAGGCAGTCTACATCTCACACGGCTCAAACCAACAGTCAGAGACTTCATCGACTTATGCCTTCCTTGTCTGGCCACCTTGAACCCTTTAACAACCTAATCCAACTTCCCTACAATGGCACGTCAAGGAAGGCAGTGGCTGAGCATGGGCAGTACATGTTCAAGGCATCTCAGTTGACTAAAGTTCACAACCTCATCAACCAACTTGTTTGTCTTGCTTAGTACCTTCCGTCTGATCCCAACATTGCTCACACAATGATCCCACCAAACGTGAGGAATGCTACAAAGACACTTGTGACCGCCTCATGTCGTCTACTTTTAACGATTATGTCTCACAGGACAGAATGGACAGCAGCTCAGTATTCTCTTCCTTTGATAGATAGTCAAATATCTTGCCAGTCGGCGCCACAGATGATGGAGGCTGGCAAATGCCAAACTAACCTTCTGTATATGAGCTGAGATTTCGTCAGCAACCGGCCCGTTCGGGCTGATGCAACGCCCCAAGTAAGTGAGGTGGTCGACACATTCCACGACTTTATTCCCTATCATTAAGCTGGGGGTTGATGCGGAACAGTGCTGGGGCATCACCTTACATCTGACAGTTGCGAAACTCATGCCAAACACACTCAGATTTCTGCTCAACGCGTTCAGAAGACCCCGATTTTGGCAGCGTCTTCACCTGGCGGAACAATACCTTCTGCATATTCTAGGTCAACCAAGCGGCCTTCAGGCAGCAAGCCAATCCCTGTGAAGTCAGATGTACCTAGCGTTATATCCATTAGTACGTCAATGACGAAGTTAAATAGGGACGGTGACAGTGAGTATCCTTGGCGGAGACCACTAGAGAGCTTTGAACAGCGTTATATACTTGCTCGGTACTCTCTTCACAACCAGACACTGCCACAACACCTCATGACTAACACAGACAAATGCCGCCTTCAGGTCAAGAAATATGGCAAGTGTCGGGCACTGGTCGGTAGGCATGCCTTCGTTTCAGAACCTGTTGGAGGGTGAAAATATGATCGATGCACCCTCGAGCAGGTCTGAAACCTGCCTGGTTTTCTCGAGCTCCACCTAGGCGTCGGACAAGTATGGATCTAAGACCCTTGGACTCGACATTCGTCAAACTAATTCCCTCGTGGTCGTCACAAGAAGATTTCTCTCCCTTCTTATAGAAAAGGATGATCAGTGAACTAGACCAATCTGACGTCAATACCTCTGATTCACGTACCTAATACCTCCGTCACTCTTATCAGCAATTTCCTACCTCCATCCTTAAAAACTCCAGATGGCAAACTGTCAGGTTCTTCTGCTTTGCATCGTTACAGGTTCGATAGAGCCTTCTCAACTTCAAGGAGAGTTGGAGGACCGACATCTACGTCTCATTCAGATTCAGATCGGATGTTGGACAGCCGAAGTGGTGCTAAGGGTCAGTTGAACTGTGCTTCCAAGTGTTCTTTCCGACGTTTCGGCCACCTGTCCTGAGAGGTTATCAGTGTCCTATCCTTTTCGGCAATGATTTCACTAACCATCATCTTTCTGCTGGCATCTTCAATAAGGCTAATTAGTTGGCGAGTCTTTTCTTTTCATCTTTGTGCTGATGATAATATCTGGAATGCAATGATAGCTTCGTATGCTAACTTTCCAGTTTAGAGAACACAACAAGAAAATTTGATACTTATTTCTCACTAGGATTCGCCGAACTTATTTCGAAATCGAATCAAAATGCAGTCGTAGACTTTGTGCATGTTCGTGCAGTAGGCCATGAGCCACACCTGCTGCGTGATGTCTACCTGGCTACCCAAACCTCGGTAGTTGGAAGGGTGTTCGACTCCGTGACCCACTGGTTGAAAGTTAACTCCCGGAATCAATGGACCAGAGCTCCACTACAGGATATATATATATATATATATATATATATATATATATATATATATATATATATATATATATATATATATATATATCCTACTGAACATCTTTTATTTCAGTATTCAAAGTACAACCAACCATTCCTACTGGTAGCTAAGTAAACCACCTCTGATTTTGGATAAGCTAGCTTAAAACTTCTTGTTCACGCTTTTTTAAAGTGCAAGAAGAAATCCATTGTGTGATGTTTTCCTGTTTTCAGATCTGATTTTTATGTTATTGTAGTTTTAGTTCTGTGCTTTAATTTCCTCTGTCTTACACATTTGGGTTGTTGAATCTTATATGTTGTTCTGAATTTTCATTATTCACCTAGAGTTCAGGAAAGAGTTCAGTCCTCGAAAACTTGGTTGGTCGAGATTTCTTACCTAGAGGGGCGGGAATTGTGACACGCCGACCACTTGTTTTACAACTTATCCATGTTGATGAATCGGATCATGCTACACGGATTGCAGAGGGTGATGGTACTTCAACAGAATGGGCAACATTTCTGCATAATAAGAAGATATTTCGAGATTTTGACGAAGTTCGTAGTGAAATCAAGAGTGAAACGGACCGCGTCGCTGGAGCTGGAAAAGTATGTTTCTTTTAGTCTGTGTAACTGTTTTAATAGCTTTTTTGATATTCAAATTGAGGAATACTTTATCAAAGCTTAAGTACTTGCGAATATAACAATAGTTTAATTTTGCACTTCTGATTTTCAAGAGGTTAGTATTTAGTTAGCCTTTCAGTTGCAAAACTTTGCCTTATGACAAAAAGTTGCATTCCATAGGGGATCACTTTTTCGTCGTAGTTATGTGATAAATCTTCGAAATTGATGTCTACCGCTTAATTAAGCATTTGACTTTGACATTTTAAAGTTAATCCTCCCCACATAATAACCCCAATAGTTGCTTTACTTTCGTTAAAATGCTTTAAATGTGTTTGTAATATTTTAGCAATATCCTAAGCTATTTCGATAATGCATACCATCATTAGCAATGTTAGTAACTCTTCATTTGTATCAACGATGCATGTGCTAATAACTAATGTTAATTCTCAGGATTTATTTTTAAGTAAACTATGTCAATGTAAGTGGAGCTGTGGCTCATTGATTTAAGGAAATGACTTTCAATCATTAGGCCATGGGTTCGAGCTCCTCTCCACTTACCGACGTTTGGGCAGCCAGGTAGTATCATTGACTCTCACACAATAGGCGTGGCTCATCGCCGACCGCACGAATGTGCGTAAGGCTGCTAAGTGCATTTTATTTATTTATTTATTCATGTAAAGGCAAGTTTGTTGCTCCAGGACAGTGCCCCAGCTAACAATAAAGAGTGGAGTGGTTGAGTGTACTTACTGCTTCACTTACGTCGGAAATCGGATCAGCCCTGGTATGTCAGTGGCCAACATAGCCTCTGCACTAATGCAAAAGACTCGATTGGCTTTCACTAACTTTCGCCATCTGTGGTGACGCTGCGATGTCCGATTACCTATTAAGGGTTGAGTGTACTATGCTGCAATTATTTTTGTTCTACTCCATAGCTGTAAAGGTAGGAGACATAAAAAGGCTTCTGGTGTTTGACTACCGTTGCCTTCGTAGCATAGGCTGTATTTCGTGGTGAGTAGCGCTGGAGTTAGGTGTTGAGTTTTAGAGGAGAGGAAAGTCAGTTGGTAAGGTCGTAAACTTTCATCGACTGAGATGGCTGGGGTATGTGTTACGCATACCTAGTCACCGTCTGCCTCGTCGCACAATGTTAGACGAAGTAGCTTCAGGCTAGAAGAAGACTCGAGGTGGATAGACTAAAACATGGCATCAATGCATGAAGTCTTTGACCGTTGGTTTGAGGCATGTTGAGAGACTTAGGCTAGTCGGTTGAGGTCCACGTGGCAACAGAAACCAGTGGTTGGAGACCCTAGGTATTATGGTTCATAATTGATGTCAGTGGCACAGGTGTATATCCACACATTATCCTCATCTCAAGCGCTATACCTCATTCTTTTTCCCTCTCTTTTATTACTTCCTACTTCTTTTGACCTATTTTTCTTTCTTTCCTCATCTATTTTATTGCCTTGTTGCTTGATGTGCTGATATGAGGTGTAGCAACTTGGACCATTGTATAGTAATGCCTGATCCTATGTTGATATTGATTTGACGTTTTTGATGTAAATCTAACTTAGTAGTATGTCTGACTAAGACCATGATTATCTTAAAGACACTCTATTTTAAAAGTCTTGACTGTTATTAAAAGTACTCTCATAGAAAGAAGTAAAAGTCCTACTAACTATATTTATTCTCTCCCAACCGTTATCTACTGCCTTGACGTAGTGGTCGGGCTTGTATATCACAATGACCCAACGAGCTATGCTGGTGTGTCGATTGTTTCCTCGAGGTCCTACTATGACAGAAGTCTGTTGGTAAGACAAAAAACAGTTAACATTGTAGTGTAAATTGCTACACTATGATGGTCTGAGGGCGAAATAATACCATGGCTAGGTAGATGGGTGTGACAGCAGTAAGGCGTTTCGCTCTAATGACCAGCAGCTGCACGTCGATGCTGCCTTCCCAACCGTAAAGGGGTCAGGTTAAAAAAGGTTGACCCCAAAAATAGCACACCCCACCCCCTTGTGGAATGCCATTCCTTGCAATGGAGATTCATAGTCGGATTCAAAAGTGAAAAACAAAAATCTAAAACTTCCCAAAAGGCCGCTTATAGCCGCCTTCAGGCAGATATCCCATAGGGTCTGCGGTCACACAGATCTTTTTCTCTTTCAGGTATCTGAAGAAGAAATATCCCTTCATGGGATGGGTAGCCATGAAGTGTCAACCACCCGCACGCTTCTAGTAATATACAAGACCAAATTAAGCATAACCTCTCCTCCTTTGCCTTCACCTCTTGATACCATTACGCCTTACTCATCTCACTCTGCAATCGTGCTAACGATCGAAGCCATCCAAACCTCATCCCTAGTCCCTTAAGCCTCCGCCATAAATATCCCATAGGAGCTTTCAACATCGGAACTCTGTGCCAAACCATATAGAAACCATCGCTCGGCAAAAGTCTGGAATCTTTAGCCATGGATGTATGCTGTGTCTCTGGGGCATGTAGACGGGATCCAAGTGTGGTTATTAAATTGACCTCATCTGGCCATAGAAGCGAATTTTCAAAATTCACTTAAGAGTATCCAGAAACCTAGTGGCTCTCATGGACCAGCCGGTGTCGGAACAGCATTGTTATAGAACAGAAAGTGCGCTTCTCGACTGGATCCCAGTCAACAACCGTCTGCGTGCTGTTCGACTCAATGGATCTGTAAAGACTGGGAAGAAACGTGAGACCAGGCATTGCCTATTCGTAATCTTCCCCCATACACCCACCGTTTGTAGTTTCAAAGATGCAAAGAGTGAGTTCTATGATAAGCTGTCAATTTTGCTACAGAAAGCAGGACGTTCATGTATAGTCATAATGGCAAGTGCCTTTAACGCTGAAGTAGGGAAGTTGAGCCAGTTGGAAAGGCGTCTTGGAGATATCTACAGAATCCTATGCGAACAAACCGACGACGGTGATCATCCGCTGCAATTTCGCTTTGGTAATCACTTGTTTCTGGCCAGCACTAACTTTAGGCATAAAGAAAGGCACCATCTCATATGACGTTCGCCGACACCAAACAGACTATGGACACAGACAGATCACATTCGTATCAGCCATGGTTGGAGGAGATCGATGGATGATTGCCGATCTTTCTGACAAACCAGTTTGAACTCTGATCATGTCCTGGTACGGGCTCGTGTATGTTTGCATTTTACCGGTAGCAGGAAGCAGGCTATAGTAAAGCCTGTCTTTAGTCAGTTTGAAGATCAGAATGTTAAGTACAAAGTTAGCAAACAGACAGCTAAGTATTTATCTGTACATGATACCAATCCTCATTCTGAAGAAACAGGGCATGATATTAAATATGCTGTAAAAACAGCGGTAAAGAAAGTTGGTAGCCTACACCCGAAGTTTAGCAAGCGTCATTAGATTTCCACGACGTCATCCTAACTGATTGATGTGAGAAGACTCGTTCCAGCTGTCTCTGACCACGAGGAAGAGCTAAAGCAACTCAAACATAAGTTGACCACGAGTCTTCGTGTTGATCACGAGCAGTGGGGCTGACGAAGATGACACAGATAGAGAAAACATGAACGTTGGGTAACGCTCCAACTATTTACCTTATTGAGGATGCCAGCAGAAAGATGATGGTTAGTGAAATCATTGCCGAAAAGGATAGGACACTGATAACCTCTCAGGACAGGTGGCCGAAACGTCGGAAAGAACACTTGGAAGCACAGTTCAACTGACCCTTAGCACCACTTCGGCTGTCCAACATCCGATCTGAATCTGAATGAGACGTAGATGTCGGTCCTCCAACTCTCCTTGAAGTTGAGAAGGCTCTATCGAACCTGTAACGATGCAAAGCAGAAGAACCTGACAGTTTGCCATCTGGAGTTTTTAAGGATGGAGGTAGGAAATTGCTGATAAGAGTGACGGAGGTATTAGGTACGTGAATCAGAGGTATTGACGTCAGATTGGTCTAGTTCACTGATCATCCTTTTCTATAAGAAGGGAGAGAAATCTTCTTGTGACGACCACGAGGGAATTAGTTTGACGAATGTCGAGTCCAAGGGTCTTAGATCCATACTTGTCCGACGCCTAGGTGGAGCTCGAGAAAACCAGGCAGGTTTCAGACCTGCTCGAGGGTGCATCGATCATATTTTCACCCTCCAACAGGTTCTGAAACGAAGGCATGCCTACCGACCAGTGCCCGACACTTGCCATATTTCTTGACCTGAAGGCGGCATTTGTCTGTGTTAGTCATGAGGTGTTGTGGCAGTGTCTGGTTGTGAAGAGAGTACCGAGCAAGTATATAACGCTGTTCAAAGCTCTCTAGTGGTCTCCGCCAAGGATACTCACTGTCACCGTCCCTATTTAACTTCGTCATTGACGTACTAATGGATATAACGCTAGGTACATCTGACTTCACAGGGATTGGCTTGCTGCCTGAAGGCCGCTTGGTTGACCTAGAATATGCAGAAGGTATTGTTCCGCCAGGTGAAGACGCTGCCAAAATCGGGGTCTTCTGAACGCGTTGAGCAGAAATCTGAGTGTGTTTGGCATGAGTTTCGCAACTGTCAGATGTAAGGTGATGCCCCAGCACTGTTCCGCATCAACCCCCAGCTTAATGATAGGGAATAAAGTCGTGGAATGTGTCGACCACCTCACTTACTTGGGGCGTTGCATCAGCCCGAACGGGCCGGTTGCTGACGAAATCTCAGCTCATATACAGAAGGTTAGTTTGGCATTTGCCAGCCTCCATCATCTGTGGCGCCGACTGGCAAGATATTTGACTATCTATCAAAGGAAGAGAATACTGAGCTGCTGTCCATTCTGTCCTGTGAGACATAATCGTTAAAAGTAGACGACATGAGGCGGTCACAAGTGTCTTTGTAGCATTCCTCACGTTTGGTGGGATCATTGTGTGAGCAATGTTGGGATCAGACGGAAGGTACTAAGCAAGACAAACAAGTTGGTTGATGAGGTTGTGAACTTTAGTCAACTG